TCTCTCTCTCTCTCTCTCTCTCTCTCTCTCTCTCTCTCTCTCTCTCTCTCTCTCTCTCTCTCTCTCTCTCTCTTATCTTCTTCACCCACTCTTATGTTTTTCTTATTTTTTTCTTTCGGTAACTTTCTTATATTTTTCATTTTAAATTTTTGACTTCAAATCTCTTTTTCCAAAAGATTATCTTTGCAAAACATATTGAACCACGAATTCAGCTCATAGTGACCGATGACAATATATAACATGATTGATGTAAGTCGACAAGTTTTCCACCGCAATTTACGACGACCTCCACTACGGTCTCTTTTATTTTATACAAATCTTCTCTTATGTAGTATCTCAAGTCCGACTGGGAAGCCTCAACGTCATGCCCACAGCTTCTCTTCCATGGCGTCTCAAGAGGTCTTCATAGTGATCTCAGCCTCTTTTTGTGCCTTCGGTGGACCGTAAAGGAAAGCCACCGCTGCATCTGGAATTAAATCACCATTGTTGAACCTTGAAATTAAGTTATCTTAATTTTTATATGTGGTTCTTGTAATTTTAATTATTTCCCTAAAACTTTCAGATTTGGAAATAAATCCTCTTCAATTAACCTAAAATTTCTAAATTTTCATTTTAGACCCTATAAAACAAATCAATGTACCAAATTAGCAACTATATTTAAAATAATTAAAGTTATTAAATATCATAAGTTTTGCATATCTATATCATAATATTTTAAGTCTATACAAAATTATGCATATAAATGTACAAGTGGATACATAATATAAAAGAGTGTACAATCGTGAGTGTACATGTGTACATCAAAGTTCTGGTGTACATGTGTACAAAGAAAATGATAGTGTACATGCGCGCAACACTAGAAAATTAGGTAAAGCGTATTCAAAGATGAACATGAGTGTTTGTTTGGCAAGAAGTGGTAATGTTATTTAAGATGCATATATGTGTTCAATTTCATTAAAAAAGATTGTGATACATAATCTAAAACTCTGGAATAAAAAATGAAGAGAATTTTCCACACTTGAAACTTTGGACCCAAACTACAAAGAAACAAGAAATTGAAGAACCAAGGGATGCAATTATTAGAAACTTGTCCATTGTTGCTGAGCTTTGATATGGAACACAGTGACAGAGAATTAGTTGTCGCGGATTGAGTTTGAATTTGGCCCACTGACAATAAACTGCATATATCGTGATGGATCCGTGATGAAATTTTATGAGAGGTATGATAAGGTGTGGCGATGATAACGTGGTCGCGTATTTCGTCGGAGAGATGCTAATATGCGGCGAGGATGGCGATAGATGGAGCGACGAGACATGTGAACGGAGGAGTGGTAGTGCTTTGACGGTGAACTAGGGAGGTAGAGATGTTACAGCTGTGGTGTTGTTGGGCGGAGGAGAGGTTTGTCTCAGTGTTGCAACCATGAATCTATATTTTTTCAAGCATGTGACATTCGAGCTTGTCCTTGTTTTCTATAATAATGAAAAAGTAAAAGAGACAAAAAAATACATGAGATAAGAGAAAGAGAAAAATAATGTAATATTAAAAGAAATACAAATTTACTGTTCAATTAAAGTTTAGTTAGATTTCAACTATTCGGGAGAAGTAAAAATGTGTTGGGAAAAAGGAAAAGTGTGTGAGTAGCATAAACTATCTTATAGTGATATTAAAAGAGTAAAATTGATCTGCAATGTAATATTTTCTTTATACTATCTTAAAATTACTAGAACTGTAATCTGTTCACCATCCTTAATTTTGGTTTGCTTATATACCAAAATGGTCCAGATGACATGATTTTTATTAATTTATATTATTATTTGCTTATGCATTATTTTTATATATTACTGTAATAGTAGTATTCATTTTTCGACAAATTGTTCTTCTGATTCTTACCATCAACTAACAGAGATTAGCTTGCGAGAGAGACGGTTATGGCGATCCCCATCAGGATTGTCATCACCAACATTTCTTCTGCAACTCTCACCATGAAGATCTAAATATTATCAACTTTTGAGATTATGTTTCAAAACAAAATCTACATGTTACATGCATTTTGTTCTTCTCTACAGCGGAGAAGAGGTTTCAATTTCACAATGAATTGGTAATAATTTTCTCTTCTTCTAATTCTTTGTTGCTATATCCGGCGTAGTTTTCGCCATCATATAAGAAATATACTGGAGACAAAGATTCGATATTTTCTTTATTGTATGGTTTTGTTTCTATAATGGTTGAAGATTTGTCGTTCTAATTTTTATTTTCTTAGAGTAAATTAATATGTTAGATTCGTTAACGATAGAAATTGGAAGATAAGTAGTGTTATAACTAATGTTATAAAGGAAAACAACGAAAGAAAATTTGGGGTTTTATCAATATCCAAACACGAAGATTACATTAATAAGGCTTAAACTTTTTAATTTTTTTTATTTGGATATGATTGCATCTTTAATATTTTATATGTAATGTTATATTTTATTATATAAATAAATCGTTGTTACAAAAACAGAGATTAATCTTTTTTCTAATCAACATAAAGATATTTTATTGATTGATGAAAACCATGGTCAAGTTGCACATGTGCTATGTAGTTAAAAATGTAATAATATCCAAAGAAATACTGAACAAGAATTGAGTTGGGAAAACGTGCCCAATTTGGAAAGTAAGAAAGACAAAAGGTTCACGCTTTCCCTGTCATCATCGCCGTCCGTCTGTTTATGTTGATGGTGAGAGAGTCGTCGTAGCGATTTCAAAGCGGCGAAGAAGAAGCAGGGAATATCCATAAGGACAAACCCCATCTTCAATATTTTTTCTCCTTTTCCTCTTCATCCTTACCCGATTGGGAAACTTCTTGCTTTTTACTCATCATCACGCAATCTGATTTACCGATCTAAACCCTGTAATCGATTGAATTTTACAGTTCGAATTTTCGGGGGTCAATTTGATGGCCGCTTACGCGAATTATCTACGGTTAGCACGACTTGGAACCGGTTCAGGTGTAAATTTCTCGAATTTCAGATCAATCGGTTCTCCAAACCCGACATTTGACCGGACTCTCTTCGATCATCACGAGATCCGTTCATCATCTTCTCTGTTCAGACAACCCAACTCCAGATTCATATCTCAACTTGTCAAAACCAATGGCAAACGTCTGTATCTCGTCGATACACTCGCTTTGGTAATAACCCTTTTCTTACTCTGTCCTTCTCATTGTCTAACTTTGTTGCTTTTTGAATTGATACAATGGAATGGTTAGGAACTTAGGAGCTTTATATTGGAAAACACATGTCTGGTCGTTTATATATTGTCTTAAAAGAGTTTTATAATTCGAATGCGAGTTTGGTATGTGGATTTTTCAGGTTAGGAGCTTAGAAGCACAAGGCCTGCCCTCAAAGCAAGCAGAGGCAATAACAGGTGCTATAACTGAAGTTCTGAATGATAGCTTAGGAGTTGTTTCTCAGTTGGTTGTTTCCAAGGGTGAGATGCAGAAAGTAAGTTTTCCTGTTACTTGATCAGTTACCAAAGACTCCCTCTCTACCGAGTTATAGCTGCTTAAAAGTCTCTCTTTAACTTTGATCTGCTTTGCTTCTGGTAGGCTGAAATGACACAGGAATCAAACTTATCCAAGTTCAAAAGTGAAATTAACAGTTCCCTGGTAAGCTGTGCTTTCACTTTCTAAGTCTCTAACTGTACATTACCTGGATAGAGCCAATAAGTACCTTTTTTGAAGTGATGCATTGAGTCTTAAAGATTGTTGGTTTCGTGTATAGGATCACCATTTCTCTTTGCTGCAACACGAGAATGAGAAACTCCGCAATGACATAGAACGAATCCGCACTGATATAAGGTCAGGTCTTTTGTATATGAACCGAACCTCTAGGGTTTGATTTGCTACAGACTCAGTGCAGTGGCCTAAGAATATATAAATTGCAGGCACGAGATCGACAAAGTCACAGCAGGACAGCGGTTGGACCTGAATCTTGAAAAAGGGTCTGCTAACTAACCTTGTTTTTTGGTTTTATGATCTTTTGGAAACTTGTTGTGATATCTTTTCTATGATGGATGGCGCAGGAGGATAAGAGATGAGCTAACGAATCAAAACGCTGAAACCTCTAACCTTACAAACAAACTTGACCGTGTTAGTACCCCCCACCCTATATGTGCATTTAGTTAGTTCGTTTTGCAGGAAGAAGTTGTTTGTTTATGTTTTGTTTCAATGTCTCTCAGGAGATTCACACTTTGAGAGCTCAGTTGGAAGCGGCCAAATACGAGGTGATCAAATATTGTATCGGTACACTTGTCTCCATCTCAGCCGTTGGTCTCGCTGTCCTCCGCATAGTCATGTGACTACCATCATTGACCAACACCATCATCTTTGCTGTTTTTTTTCTTTTCTGGAATGATATCTTAGTCTGCTCTCTTCATCCTGTGAATTATTCGTATGTTCAAATGTAAGTTGTTGATTTAGTATATATGACGAAAAAAGAAAAAAGAATAACTAATTCATGAGATTTGCGATCAACATATATGAATGATGTTTCTTCTACCTGTATGAATAGTTTGGTTGTATGACACGATTATCCCCCCTTTACCTTATTTGCTAAACATTGAAAAAGCTTTACTGTATCACTTAAATTATATAGGAATTGATAATTGATAGCGATGCTCTCGAACCTCCATGGATGCCCAAGCTTTTCGACGGAACTGGAGAGGCTCTTGACGTTGAAGATTTGTTTCCCAGACTTCAAGATAGTCTATGTACCTAGGTCTCGAAATGTTATGTCCGATCATTTAGCTAAGATTGTCCGATCCTTTTATCGTGAGCTGATGTATGTTGGTTGTTCTATTCCGGTCTGGATTCCCAGACCATCTCAAGCTTGAGTAATAGATCAGCCTTTCGTTGTCAAAAAAAAAAAAAAGTATATAGGAATTCTTGAACCCAAGAATTGAGGATAAAATTTTTTCCCTTACCCCGGATCTACTTTTTGGAAAAATAATACGAAAACAAATTTTTATTAAATGAATTATTTTTCACATGTACTATAATCACTTAAACACAAAAAGTATATAATGATATATTAAAATGATAACAAGGTTTCTAACTAAATGTCACTTGATAATTACATTTATTGTTGATTTCTATTTTTGGTTAATTTTGTTGAATATAGAAATAACCCATAGATCATCATTAAAAAAATATATATTTAAATGTAAAATTAAATAATATAATAGAAAATATTTTACAAATTTCAAAATATTATTTAAATCTATTTTTAAAACCATATTAACTTTATTACTAACTAATGTTTTCAAAATTTTATACATTTTTTTTGAATTTTTTAATAAACTTTTAGTTGTATAACCATTTATTTCCTTCTCCTATCTACAAATTAAAAAAAAAGTTCTCTTTAATTTATTTTTTTTGATAATTATAAAAACTTTCTATCAATTTTTGTAAAAATATATAAAAATTTATTGAATATATCTTACCAAAAAAGATAAATGAAAATCTATCTAAGATTATAACTTAAAATATACATATCTTTTTAAAAATATAATTTTAAACAAATCAAAATATTTATTTTATCTTAATTTTATTATTAACTAAATTAAATATGTATTAAATATTGGTATGAAAATAAAAAATCTAAAATATTTAAAAATAATAATTTTAAATATAATTTAAACATAAAAATTTATTATTGTACATAGTGATGGAAGACACTTAGTCCTTTAGACTTTATTTGAGAAGTGTGTTGCTTAAGTGTCTTCACCACAACCATTCTAACAAATAAATGATGACTAGGTGGCTTCCTGCACCATGTGCAGAAAGAAAAGTTTTAAAATAAATATATATATTTAAAAATAAAATTTAATTAATTTTTAAATTTATTATTTTATTATATTATTAATTTTTCATTAATTATATGTAAAAATTAAGAGAAAATAAACACTTTTATTTAAATATATGACAGTTCTTTCAAATAGAGTTTTTTTAGGTTTTTTCAAAAAAAATAGATCTTAAAATTAAAATGACCAAAACAACATTTTTTATTTTGAAAATTTCAATTTTTTTGTAATCCTATCCCCAAATCCCCACTCCTCAACTTTAAACAAAAAGGTTTACGATTAGTTAACCCAAATAATATAAATGTATATTTACTTATTTTTTATAAAACATTTAAGTCTATCTTGTTCATTTTTATTTTAAAGTCTATATTTGTGATTAAAATTTTTTTTTAGGTCTATCTTAAATTTTTTTCTTAAATTTATATTTAATAATATACTAGGTGTTTTGCCCGCACTTGCGGGTTTAATAATTTTACTAATATCTATAAATAAATAAATAATCAATTTATCTAAATTATAATAAATTATAGTTCATAGACTCAAAATATTTAATAATAAACTAAACAAATTCTTTCTATATATAAAATTTTTCATCATCATATAAATAATTTTCATTACACAACTTATATTTGAAAATACTCATGAACTTAAAACATTTAGTAATAAATTAATATCATTTGTAGACATAACAAAAAAGTATAAAAAATTATCTTTAATAATGTTTTGGATAACACAATATAAATTATCTATACATAAATTCTTTGCGAATTGATTTTTCATAATTAACTATATATTAACAAATAGATTTAGTTTTCAACGTTAATAAAGACTTTATAACACAATATAAAAAAAGTTAGGTAAAGATAATTATCAAATTCATGAGATTCATTTTTTAATTTAGAATTAATTATATGTTAACAAATATAATTATTTTTCAAAATAAAGACTTTATCCATAATATAAAAATTTAAAATAAGGTAATTATCAAATAAATGAAATTTCTTTTTAATTTATAATTAATTATATATTAACTAATATAATTATTTTTCAAGGTTAATAAAGACTTTATAACCCAATATAAAATATTTTTAGATAAAGATAAATCTAAAATCATTGAAATTCTTTTTTATTTATGTTTAATTATATTAAAATTTTTAATTATTCATTAAGGATATAAACGATATTAACCGCTCTAACTTTCAATGTGAAAGTTACAAATTAATCAGCAAATTCACTTAAATTTTATAATTGAAAATATATTTTTAAGATAACAATCTAATACAAAATAATTAACATATTTTCTAAAAATATAATATTATTAACATAAATTCGTTTTTATTTTATAATAAATTTTTAAAACATGAAAATAAGCAAAATAACCTAAAATCATGGAGAAGTTGACAACTAAGCAAATTTACTTCTCAAATAATGTTATAGATATGTATATTTGATCTTTTGGTTAAATTATATTAAATCCCATTCTATACTATTAAGAGAAAAATTTTTTAGATATATAATTATCAAAATATAAAACTAAATAATATTTCTAAAATTTATAGATGTTATAAATAAATCTAATGGTATTGGGATTAGAAAATTTTAATTTTAAAAAATACTGCATAAAATTTTGAAAAACAAAATTTATTAATAAAAAATATATAATTAAAAAATACACTTAAAAATATTTCAATATTTGTAATATTATTATATTTATCTTTCTAATATTATATTATTTATTATCTTAATGATAATTTATGATTTCTTTTTCTTATCACTATTTTAATACAAATTTTTGTTTAATCAAACATAAAAAGTAATATAAAAATATTTTTGTTTATTTCAAATTATATTTAATAATATGCATGTATATATTTAAAATTATAATCTTAGATAATTTTTTTATCTATTTATTTTAATTAAATATATTAAATAAATTTGTAGAAAATTTTTAAAATATCAAAAATTAAAATTAGACAATATTTATTAAATTTTTAAATATATAAGAACTTAATAATTTTAGGATTAAATTTTAATAATTTTCAAAAAATGTATACATTTTTAAAATTTTTGTAATAAAATTGTATAATTTTAAAATATATAACTAAATGATATTTTCGAAATTTTTAATGCCATATTGGTATATATTTATTTTAATGATGATTTATTAGTTATTACCATATTTTAAAAATATTTCCAAAAATATAAATCGACATTAAATGTAATATATGAGTTGTTACTATATTCTATAAAGTTTTGCAAAAATATATATTAACATTAAATGCAATTGTCCATATCATATTTAATCATATGTCATGTCATCAATTCTAGTACACATGTCATCATTTTTTTGTGAAACTGATTATAGAGAGTACATGTGGCAAAATCTCTTCACAAATAATGTATATTTTTAATGCCATATATATATTTATTTTAATGATGATTTATTAGTTATTGCCATATTTTAAAAATATTTCCAAAAATATAAATCGACATTAAATGTAATATATGAGTTGTTACCATATTCTATTAAGTTTTCCAAAAATATATATTAACATTAAATGCAATTGTCCATGTCATATTTAATCATATGCCATGTCATCAATTATAGTAGACATGTCATCATTTTTTTGTGAAACTAATTCTAGAGAGGACATGTGGCAAAATCACTTCACAAATAATGTATAGGGGATATGTCGTATAAAAAAATGATAACATAGATCCTATGTAATTATGACATGGATTAATACAACTACGACATAAAATTATTATGAAATTTTAAATATAAAACAATAAATAAATGGTAGTTACCATAATTTAAAATTTTATAAGAAAAATAACTTACAAATTAGATAAAATTTATCATAAACTTACACACTAAAAAGTTAATATAATAACAAAACAAAAATATTCCTTTATTTTATTGGTATTTTATATATGTTAATCTTTTTAAGAAGAAACATCTATATATGGTAAACTTGTATTAAATATCGTAACTAGCATATTCTTTTGTAGTTAATATAATATTATTTTCAAAAGTTATAACATGATGTTAAGATCCTAATCATATCATGTCGTGTTATTGGATACCAAAGATATCGAAATTGAAGGACGCAATAGTTCAATTAGGTGGAGTACAAAAGGAAACAAGAAATATATGCATTATAAATCATGAGATAAATTATGCACGTCCAAAGATGAAGAAGGCTTAGAATTTAAAGACATCATGGATTTCAATACGGCTATGCTCGCAAAGCAGTTGTGGCGTTTCTTACAATTTCACAGAGGATAACTCAAAGCGGGGAGGATGAGACTACAACATTATCTCATATCCCATGAACAGGGCCGGGTCTGAGCCAAGCCCAAAGAAACATTGACCTTAGACCCCCTTTTTTGATAGGCCTCCAAATAAAATAAAAGTCCAAATATATAAACCCATAAATATTGAAAACAAATCATATGGGCTTTAGATATATTATGATTTTATTAAATTTTTAACTGATTGGACCAAATAATATAATGACCCAATAAACTTTCAAATAACAAACTATAAAATTAAAAAAATTTATTAACATTTTTTTTGCTACGCTAAGTTTTTTTCTAAAAAATACTTATTATGTTTTTTCTTCTTCAGAAGATCACCTATAAATAAAAAAAAATTGTTTCACTTTCACTATTCTTTTTTACTATTTTATTATTTTTATATATAATATAT